GGCTCAGGGTTGACTCAGCCTTGCATCCTCCCAAGATCGCTAAAATGAGTCCCCAGCTTGTTGGGGGCAAGTGGGATACACATTGTAAACCACTTAGGGAGTGCTTAAGCGGTATAGAAATGTACTTGCTATTGCTATTGCTATCTTTGGTCCATCTAGTTCAGTCCTGTCCCATGGATCTTTTGATATGCAAAGGATGGGCCATAACACTAAGCTATGGCCCAAACAGCCACTTGCAAACTGGCTAGCAATGCATCACTCTCCTCCACACTTGAAAAGGACAAAGTGACAGCATTTTACAGATGGTTTTCATATGCTCACCTACATTTCAGAGACTCCCATTTTATATAAAGGATACCATTTTACTATGTCGTTGTATTTAATGGGACTTGAGCATCCACAATGGACTTCCAATGGACTTCCAAAATGCCTCCAAAACTCCAGACCCAGAAGTGGCTGGAAGTCCAGCACAAGTGTTGAAAAATGGGTATATTTTTAAAAAGTTAAACAGTGTGTGCAAAATGATTTGAGCTGCAACCTATTTAGAAAGTGAATTGTTGCTCCTGGAGGGCCCCAGAAAATCCTCTGCTCTTTTATAAAGCTAAAATAAGGTCAGTCTAAAGAGTAATAAGGATTTGATGGCTGCAGATATGGCCTGGAGGGCACCCTTGCTAGAGTAATAATTGCTGTGATTTAAATAAAAATACCACATCTCTCACTGTGATGGGAAGGCTGTGACCAAATGATCTGTGTCCCTATGCACTGGTGGGCAACCTCAAAGTCCCCACATTCCTTTTCTAAGGTTATTTTGGATGGGATATCTGGTTCAGCTTACTAAAGCGGGGTCAAGGGAGAAGGACTATGTTGCTGAAGCCTTCTAGAAGTTCCCCTCTGCAATCTTTGCTCAATGAGTATTTTCAGTCAACACGGCCCATCTTCCAACCACATCTCTGCAACTATAACAATTGGAATAAACTTCCTACCTCCCCTAACATGGGAGCTGAGAGGCTGAGGAAGCTGACTTCTCCAGCTACTTTTATGTTCTGTAGGTTATATTTTCTTAAACTTGTGAGAATCATTACAAGCTCTGAGCTTTGAAAACAAAGCAGCGCTTCGTACTTAAAATTCACTTTGGTTTTCCTTGGGAACACAGAGTACACATATAGTTTCCTAAGCAAATGGCCTGAGGGGTGCCCAGACTCTTCTTTGTTGCAAGTTTTGAAGCAGAACTTAGATGGGCATCTCCCAGGGGTGATTTTATTAGTGAATTTCTGCATTGTCAGGGAGTAGGATATCCTCAAAGGACCTTCCATCTCTATGATTCTATGATTGTTTGGCCATCTATTCTAGCACAGAATAGATATTTCTCTTGTTTTGTAAGCCAGTGAGGTTGCTTCCAGATGCCGCTGGTCAAAAGACGTTGGCCATGATCCTAGAGCAGCTACAGCCAGCCCTCTGCATTTATGGATTCTTTATTCACAAATGCAACCATTCGCAGCTTGAAAATATTTAAAAAAATATATAAATTCCAAAAAGCAGACCTTGATTTTGCCATTTTATATAAGGGATACCATTTTACTATACCGTTATATTTAATGGGACTTGAGCATCCACAAATTTTGGTATCCACAGGAGTCCTGGAACCAAACCCCAGCAGATACCAAGGCCCTGCTGTATTTTACTATGCAACTACCTTAGTAATGTAGCTAGGCAGCATCACTTGGCTGGACATTCTCCCCAATCTGGACTTATTGGGTGGCAGCTGCTCTGAGCAATTGGGTTATGTTCTCCTGTTGATCAGAACACAATAGACTGACATTTCCTCCTTCCTCTCATGAGCAATTTCCAATGCAACAGTTAGGAGCAGAATCCCTATTGCAATTCCTCCTTGCACTGAGATTGCTTGCAGGTGCATGGAAGAAACACCAGTCTGCTGTGTCCCAGCTCACAAGAGAACAGACCCTTGTTGCTCACAGTGGCTGCTGACCTGTAAGTCTAGACTGGTGGACTTTCATGATCCCCACATATTCCCAACACTATTGAATACATCGGGATTGTGAATAAGAACCAGTCACAAACATATGTAAGGAGATCTTGTAGCACCTTTGAGCCTAACTATGCAGAAGAAGTTATAGCATAAGCTTTTGTATTGTCTCCTTCCTTTGGGTTAGGCATTTGTTACTGCAATTGTGAATTCCAGCCATTGTGTAACTATTCCACCTCATCCTCCTTAATAGATTTTTTTTTTGAAGGAAGGATTGCAAAGAAAAAGGAAACAAGCCACGAGAAGACATCGGAGAGTTACAGTGGAAGATGGAAGATGTCATTTTCTAGACCATGCATACAATTCCCTGAATGAGACACAGTGCTTGCTGTCTTATCTGCAGGAACCCAGGGACAATCCAGCTGTGGTTAGCAGCCAACATCAATGGCTCCATGAATCTTTCTTTCTTTAATGGATTTTAGTAGGCTTGTGCTGGGAATATTGATTTGGGGAGAAAGAGGCATTAGTGCAAGCTTTTGCTCAATGACAACTGAGCAGATGCAACGGCGGATGCTCTGAAGGACTGATGGGAATTGAGAGCCAAGCAGCAAGAGGGATGTTTAACCAGACATACCTTTTATCTTCTTCCACTTGCACTCCGATGGAGTGGACTTCTCGGTGGCTTCTGCTTTCTGTGTCAGAATCGGAGATGGTTTCCACCTTTGCAGGGCGGGAAGGAGAAAGAAAAGGGAAGAAGCAAAGAGAGGGAAAAGATAAGTTGATAAGTGGAAAAGGAAGGAAGGAAGGGAAAGAAAGATATGTACAAAATGCACTGCAGAAATAATCCAATTTGAGACTGTCTTAACTTAACTAGGGAATCCTGAGCATTGTAGTTTATTGTGGCACCAGAGCTCTCTGTTAGAGAAGGCTCAATGTCTCACAAACTAAAATTCCCAGAATTCCTTAGCACTGAACCAGGGAAGTCAAAGCGATCTCAAACTAGATTATTTCTGCAGTGTGTTTTGGACCATAATAGTACAGTTGGCCTCTATATCCACGGATTCTTTATCCATGGATTCAACCATTCATGGATTTAAAACATTAATTTGTTTCTGAAAAAGCAAAGCTTGACTTTGCCATTTTATACAAGGGACACCATTTTACT